TTAACGCAAAAACACCGAGATTTAATTACCACGCAATGGTGATTTTATGTGACAGCAAAGATTTATCGATTTTCGAGGTCACAGACCGTATCTTTGAATTACGTGGTTCGATCTCAGTCTCGAGTTCAATCCGACATTCGTGATTCTTTTTTTTTTCAAGCAAGTTCCGCGTTTCACCTGGAGGTTCTTATATGGCACACAGTCGTAAATCAAGGGGCGGAATTCTCGAAAATTTCATCGAGTCCTCTCTCGACCGTGTCTTCTCTTTACAAGTTTCCTTATTTCGTAGCCGATATTCTTACATACACGCGCGAATGTATGTAGGTATCTCTCTTTCGCATCGACAAATAATTCGCGGTGAGATGCAGGAAAGCTTTCGAGCATCGGCTTTCCGTTGCTCAACGGAGCAACAATTACGATAGGTGGGCAGAAATTGCCGGTCCGATAAATCGTGCCGATCGTTCGAAGCGTTACGCGACGCCAGCCCAGAACTGCCGGGCGTTGTTACCTATGTTACCTTATCGTCGCGATAATTTTAGTGAAACAACGCGGTAACACAGCACCCTTTTATCTATGATCTGAAAAATTACCCGCCAGCTGGACAGACGGGTAATCATCGGTGCATAAACCGACGGCACGCAAGAGGCACTCGACTAAGTTACATGGCGTTGCAACGTATTGTACACGTAATGCCTTTGCGCGGTACGCGCGAGATTCATTTCGCCCCCGTTACTCGCGCGGCCGATCTTGATGATAAATATTACACAAATATCTGGACTCTCGGAGCATCGCGACTTCAGCAGTTTCTTAAATCGTTCCCTGGAATTCTCGAATTAGCAAAAGTTCCTTCGGACACCTCGTTAGCGAAAACGTTTGCACAGCTGGCCCACGTTCGAAAGTCATCGCTTTGGCTTTCTTCTTTTTTTTTTTTTTTTTTTTTTTTTTCTCCTCCTCGGATACCCGACCGTTCGCCGGTAAATTTCGAGGTAGAGTGTCGGACAACTTCCATCCTTTCTCGTTTCGCAATCGTAGCGAAAGAGAAAGGTAAATGGGGGAAAAATGAGCAAAAAACGCGAAAGAAACGCGAAGGAACAGAGGCGAAAGGAACGTCAAGGATCGATCGTTTTGGAACGAAAATCACGCGCTCGAACCCACGCCTCTTCCCCCTTTCTATTCTTTTTTTTTTTTTTCTTCCACGTGAGTCATAAGAGAGAACCTGTTTTAAGCTTGAGCTGTCGCGAACGAGTTTGCTTATGTAACTATAATGGAGCAATTATCGCGAGATCGGCCGTTCGATCCTCTTTCCTAAGTGCTTTTTCGCCTCTTTGCTCTTCCGAACGAATCCGTTCGTTTTACCTCTCGTTACCTTTTCTACTTCCGCGATTTATCTGAAATAGTATTGATCTTGAGAGTGGAAACAGGTGAAATGTTTCGATCTCTTTTCTTTCTCTGTCAGGGCAACTCGTTGCCACACGATGCGACACGGTGATCAGAACTTACGCCGAAAGTTACGCAACTTTTTCAGAAATAGTTTTCACAAAGATTGTTAGCAGTCACCGGGCCTCTTACATCGCCTGTAGTCAGACGGTATTCCAAATGGGCTTCGTGCATCTAGGATCTATGAGCTTGAGGTTTAGTGCAAACGTAAATCATATTAAACCCGCTTCATACTGAGGTTCGTGTTAACGGACGCGATATATCCGATCGGCCCGATTTCACAGGGTACAGCTGCTGCACCGGCTGCTGATATCTCCTCGACAATGTCCTCGAAGATCGATAATGATTTACTGGGAATTTCGGGCTCTTTGGAACGAATCTTAATACTTCATTTAATATCAATAACGTCGATTCGTTTCTGCTAGCAAAATGAGATGTGTCGCAGCCTTTTACTCCCAAAATTCTTCTTCTCGCGAGAAAGTCAGAAACATTTCACATAGTGGGAAATCTTGCGACGAGTATTAAAAGCAAAGTACGGGATCATGTAAGTACAGCGGCTAACAGGATCTCGCGGTTGCGCTAGAACATTTGTATTCCGACGATATTGTTTCAGGAGTTCGGAATAAAGCCGACGATTTGTGAGGGGCCACCTCGCTTTTAGCGTTCATAGCGGTAGAAGCAGAGGCTCGAGCCGCAGATAATTTGTCCGTGAATGGAATTAACGCCGTTAGGAGCGTTAATAACACGCGTGATTCCGAGTCGCTAATTATAAGATTTACGTGATAATGCGACGGCCAGCCAAGAGCCACTCATGGATAATAGTTTTCTAAATGCGAGTCGCGGACGGACCCGCAAGTCATTATTTTCTTCTCTAAAAGAGAAGCAAGTCTTAATAAAAGAACGGGGCAGTCTTTAAAGCCGCGACTCGTTATAATCGAATGTTTTTTTTATCATCTCGTGCTAAGAGTAAATATTCACTTTTGCTCTTTTGCCTCGAAGACTCGGTTCAAAATTGC